GAGTTAGACCTGGACTGGCGCTAACCTCTTCAACCACGTGTCTGCTTGTGACAACGAAATTTTCCTTGGCTCCTTGACGACACATCTTGATTCCGAGTGGACACATTACTAGAGAATCATCGACGGAAAACAAATCTTCAGACTTGTGAAACTTGATTGTTCAAAATTAAAGGCTACTTGTAAGCCGATCAAATACTCGTCGCCAATGTCATGTTCTCTTCTATAGTGCTGTCGAGGGCCGAAGGAGTAGGAGAGACTAGACGTTCGTTGTCAGGGGACCAGACTGAACTGAGTTTATTAGCAGCTTTATCACAGAGGTGGACAATACACATGGATACAGAAGGCCGTGACTAGACGACTGTGGCGCTATCTGTTGTCATACACAACACCCCGCAGGCGCATGGATCAAATGCTTGCGGGTGTGCCTGCTGCTGCCGGAGAGCTTGTGTCTGACAGGCGTGCGGTGCGGCGCCATTGACAAAGACGGATCGCTCACCAAGTGGTCTCTACCTCCCAGCCCTCCTCGGAGCGTGGCAGAGCGTAGAGGAGAGTGGCTGTGCAAGCTGCAGGCTAGCGAGGTACTTGCAATAATCACCCACTTTGACCATGAGCTCGAGTTTTAAGAGAGTTCTACTCGGAGCGGTGGGTAACGAGGGCGGGCCGTGCGACTCCACCACGGGGAATCGAGTGGACGCCGCGCCGCCTTACGCTGTGACGGATCAGGTTCATCAGGTTCGACCTCGCCGCCTCCGGATGAGGCCTGCTCGTGTCCGAGGCCTCCGCCGCGCTGGTCCTCGCGGGTCCTCGCGGAGACTCCCGCGCCGCCCCTAGACGAGGCAATTCCAACTTTTACCTCGTTTAGCGTAACCTCGTTTGCGGAAAGACCGAACGGGGGGCAGAGGAGGAGTGGGCCGAAGGCAGCGGGCCAGTAGTTGTTGTCCCGAGACTGGTTCTTTTTTCTCTCCCTTCAGCTTGTGTCGAATTTTTCGCTGTCTAATTAGGGGTTGCGGGGCAAAGGAGGGCGGGGTAGAGCGGGGGGAATTTGTTTTTTTAACGAAGTAGAGGTAATTAATGTTTTTGTTTCCCCCTCCTCGCTGCCCAGAGGCGGGCGAGGAGGTCCTTATCTGTCCGCCCGACCAGACCTGTCCGGGGACAGCTTGATGGATCTGATCTGGCGAGGGACACTGTCCCTGGGACTGGGGGCGGTAAGCCGATAAGAGATACGGGGCGGCTCCGGCCGCCGCTGGCAGAGCAAGAAGTAATTATGTCGTCATGTCCTCTCCGGACGACAGTAATGCTCCGACTTGTGCCGCGGTGATCGCACCCCGAGCGAGGACGTCCACCTCGACGGACGACTCGGAGCGGGAAGGGCGAGTGTGGCGGGGGCGTGGAGAAAAGAGAGCGAAGGGGACGACAAGGAGGGACGGCAAAGGGGAGAGCGCGGGTAATACGAGACAAGGGCAAGACGCAGACATGGGAAAAAATAAACCTCGAAGATTGCAGAGTAACTTTGAGGCTGTTGTTGGGGGAGGTGCTTGCCATGCGTTCATCTAGCCCCCACCCCCACCCCCTTTACTCCCGCACCCGCCTCGCGAGACACCGCTGGCGAAGAACAATGACAATGACAATAAGTCTGGCCAGCCAGATCCACACCAGTCCAGTTCGCGCGCCGTGGCGTGGAGTGCGTCGCGCAGGTCGTCCCGTTACCATCCTCGTATGCTCTCAGAGACACAAGTGCAATAGCGACGCGGGGAATGACGAACGATACGGTAGCGGCCGCGTGGCTCTGGCATCCTCCTGGGATCTCGTATCTCGCGTACAACGGATTACCCCGAATCAACGCCGGATAACACGAGACTACCCCCGAGATTACGCCCAGATTACCCCTGGAAGACTCCCTGTTACCCCCGGATCACCCGAGGTCAGCGGCCGCCTCCTGTTCGGGTGATAGGTGAGCGCAGAGGAGGAGGCAGGGATCGCAGCGCCCTGCTGTCTCTATTTTCGATGAAACTGGATCCGAGCCGAAGACTTGTCGCCGTGCGTGATCGCGTGGGCTCCGCGCCGCCCGTCGACTTGTACGGGGAGAGGGGCGCCGCCAACATCCTCACCGCCCACCCCGCCGCCGCCGCCAAAGACGCTAAAGTGGTTGCCCTGGTTACCGCCGACCCCAAAGTCAATTTCCCGCTGGGCGTCTCAATTTGAGGCCTAACCTCGTCGCGTCCGGCGAGCGCTGCAGACGAGCACATGTCGCTGCACGCCCACGCCGCCCCCCTGCTGCACGCCCACTCGGACCAGCGGCAGTAGCAGCTTCAAACTTATTGGCCCGCGGGCACTTGCCCCCTCCCCTGCATCTATGTGTCCATCTCCCCCCAACGTTCTCCTAAACAGCCTACACTGGTGTTTCCGCTTTTTATACTGTGTTAATTGTGCAGCAGCAGCAGCAGGTGGCTGAGTGTGTTGCAGCTGGCGCGTCGCAGCTGACCCACGGCCCCTCGCTGGCGGAGAGGGAGCAGGCCGGATAGTGTATTTCGACTAACGGGGGAAGAAGAGGAGCGGGTAGAGCATAAACGTTACCGATTGGTCGAGAGCTTCCCGCCTCTACGTCACGCCGGTAGTGGGAGTAAGCGCTCGGCCAAACAGGAACCTTTATGTTCTACCCGCTCTTCTTCTTCCTCCGTTGTTCGAAATACATTATAGCCTTTTCCACCCAATGCGCTGACGACCTATTTAAAACATTAGAAAGTTTTCATAAAAATGCTGCACCGTACCGCAGGTAAGACGTCATGGCAGCACCATCTTCTTTGCAACGTTGAAACCTGGTGAGCTTATTTTTCTGAAAACCATTGCAGCAGCCATAAGCACACTTCTCTCAATATAATAGCAGACCATTTCGGTGATGGAGAAGAAGAAGACGGAATCGAGAGGGAGGGGAACTGTCAGCAGAAGACGCTCTGCTCTATACCACCGTTCTGGTACAGAGACCCCGGGCGGGCGCTGTCAGGAGCCCGCGCCTAACGGCCTCGGCCCCTGCCGATAGCAGATAGACTGGGGGCTCACCATGGAGTGCCACGCCACAGGCGGGGCGGAGCGGGGCGGCCGTAATACCCGAGATGATGCTTTTGAATAATGGCGCGAACCCAGCCAGCCCCAGCAGCTCCGCCAGGCCCCACCCAGTCCACACTGCCAGCTCAAATCATACATACTCCAACTTTTGTCTTATGGAGAAATAATGCGCGCTTTTCCCAGTTTTGGATTGTTTCGCAAAACAATGGAGGGATTAGGTTTTTCTTTATAGCCCCCGAGCCCCGAGCTTCTGCTTTGAAAAGGCAAAAGAACAAGAATCGATCTAGAAAGCAGATGATACAAATTTATGAATAGGACTATGTTCTTATTTTATCTCATTAGCTCATGCAATCTGTTTGGTTGCTTGCAATCTTGCAATTCGGTGGCCTAGTGGCGCAGAGGACATATGCGGGGAGGGCAGGACGGCTGGCGCTAATGCAGCAATCTTCAGAGTTTTCGTCTGTCCTTTCCTTACAGCTCCCCCCCCCCCTCTCCCCACGTATGCCGCTTGCTTGTTACTCTGTTGGTTTTCCGTACTTTCCAATCGTCGGTCTTTCCCAGTTCGCCGGAGAAGGGGCAGCCGGCGCGGGCTGTCCCTGGATCCGGTCGCGGTGCGACCACAGCAGCACTCGCACACTCGCACTCGCATTAGTCGTGGCGCAGTCGCAGGCCAGGTCAGGTCGCAGTCAACCACCACAGCCAATCCTTCTCATCTCCGAGCAGCAGAGTGCAGTCAAGCCAGAGCAGTTCACGAGATCAGATCGGTAAAGGGCAAGGGCGGAGCGGGGCAGCTCCAGATTTGTGTGCATGTATGTTGTGTGTGTGCGTAGTGCGTATGTGTGAGTGTGCGCACGTGCGTGTGTGCTCGCGCGCATCTTTGTTTTCCGTTCAACTTGTATCGTCAGAGCCATTTTTTTTTTATTTATTTTTTTGCGCACACACGCGCTACTTTTGTGCATGCTTATTGGCAGATTTAAGCACAAACTATCGTACGCACTAACTTATGTGCAAATTTGTATCACCCAGAGAATCATTTAGTTGATGCAACGACTAAATCAGGGTTGTAAGAAACAAAATTTAGTTCCTGAAACCTACTAAAATTTAGTAACCCCATTTTTAACTAAATATGGTCGCACAAATCAAATTAAGTGAATTAAGTCAGCTGGACTAAATTTATCAACACGGGTAAATTTTGGTCTCCAAAGCTAAAAGTTCGTCGGTTTGTGAATTTGATTCTCTGGACTAAACGGTCTTCACGTGTACATTATGCTGCAAAAGAGTCATATTAAGCTAAAGATTAGATTGGAGTAAAATCCATCAGATGCGCACACAATTCCAGTCAGCCTGCATAACTGTAGGCCTTACTTATACTCATTGGACTTTTTTTTTAGGGTCTGTTCGTTGGCGTTGAATTACTGTGACAGTCACCATGGCCGATCATTGTGCGGTCTGCAACAAGACGTTTTCCAAGGATCATGAGATGTTACACATGAAGAAGAATAGTGGTGAAATGCCGTTCGAGTGTACTGTGTGCAGCAAGAAATTCAAGTCCAAAACTAATTGTAGTGTACACCTCCGTACCCACACCGGAGAGAAACCGTTCGCATGTACTATGTGCAACAAGACGTTTTCGCAAGTGGGCAATCTGCAGACACATTGCCAACTCCATACAGGAGAGAAACCTTTTGAGTGTTCTGTCTGCAACAAGAAATTTGCGGAGAGTGGATATTTGCGTACTCATCTCCGAACCCACACAGGGGAGAAACCTTTCGAGTGTACTCTGTGCAACAAGAAGTTTTGGAATAGTGGGAATCTACAAAAACATGCACTTATCCACTCAGGCGATAAACCTTTCACGTGTTCTTTTTGTGACCAGAAATTTGCGAGTAAAGGGTGTCTCAGTGAACATGTGCGAGCCTGCCACACTGGTGAAACAAAGTCCCAGTGTCCGTTTTGTGACAAGTGGGTCGTCAAGGGCTTCCTTGTTAATCACCTGAGGTCACATACCGGAGAAATGCCTTATGAGTGCAGTTTCTGCAGTAAAAGATTTATTCAAAAAAGTAACATGCAAACACACCTACGAATTCATACCGGAGAAAAACCTTTCGAGTGCACTGTGTGCAATCGGAAATTTAGTGTTAAATATGCCTTGCAACAACACCTCCGCAATAATCACACAGGGGACAAGGCAATGGACTCTGTTACCTGCGCCGTGTGCAACAAGATATATTCTAACAGTGCTAGTCTACGTTCACATGTCCGTGTGAAACATACGGGAGAAAAGCCCTTTGAATGTACTGTGTGCCAAAAACGTTTCGGGAGATCTGACAATCTGAAATACCATCTCCGCACTCACACAGGCGAGAAGCCCTTTGAGTGTACCGTATGCAAGAAATCGTTTGCTGGAAGTACAGCCTTGAGTTCACATATACTAACACATACGGGGGAAAAACCTTATGAGTGTCATGTGTGCGGCAAGAAGGTGACCCAGTCCTCTCATCTGCGAGCGCATCTCCGCACGCACACAGGAGAGAGAGCTTTTGAGTGTACCTTGTGCAGCAAGAAGTTGAGTTCACCACGATCTCTACGTCACCATCTGCTTACTCATACTGGAGAGAAAGCTTTTAAATGTGATGTGTGCAACCAAGTGTTCGCATTGCGCAGTACTCTCCTTTCTCACCAGGGGACACACACCGGAAAGAGAGCATTTAAGTGTGAACTGTGCAACAAGACGTTTACGTTCCGTCAGTCTCTTCGTACTCATCTCCGTTTTCACTCTGGGGAGAAGCCTCACAAGTGCGCTGTCTGCAACGAATCTTTTGTGCGATCCGATTATCTTCGTAAACATATTCGAATAGCCCATACAGAAGAGAAGGAAGAGAAGTCTTTTGGCTGTTCTATGTGCAATAAGAGTTTTTGTAAACCTTGGTCTCTGCGTAAGCATGCCCTAGTAGTGCACATTGGAGAGAAATCGTTTCGGTGCACTGTGTGCAACAAAAGGTTTTCGCAAAGTGTAAATCTGTATAACCATTTAAGTAATCACATTGTCCAGTCTTCGTAGAACCCAATTGATTGAAATGTTAGGTGATTGATATCAATATGTCATAATATGTTACCGCAAAACTTAAAATTTATTACTACAACACTGGATTCCTGCACGTTTTACATTGCTCTTTATAATTTTGCTGCTTTTAGTTAAGTTGCATACTCCTTTATTTCCTCATTACAACTGGAAAACGTTTAGGTTAAGATTGTTCGGAAGAATAATAAGATGTTAAACTAACGCAGAATGTCTAATACTTTGGCAAAAGAAGTGTACGTAGAAACTTTAGATTTGTATGCGTTTGACGTGAAACATCTTATTTACTGCAAATACACGTGTTAAAATCTGATCTCTGCAGTTTCCTCCCGGCGGTATCTCCCTTTTCTCCCACCAGCGGCCTATAAGACTTACAGTCGCTGCAACGCTGCAACACGGGACAAACTCAACGGATGCTGCGTTGAGTTTGCGCGTACGAGTATCTGCGGGGTCATTGACCTTCCTAGATTTCCCGGGCTAATCCCTTCGGCGGCACCACCACCGTGACCCTGTGGCCGGTACACGTGCAGCGTTGGCGAAGGGGTTACGTCAAAATAGGAGGTAGTGCCCCCCCCCTCCCGGTCAGCCGCACCTTATACCGCACCTACTGTAGAACAGAGCCGACTAGCTGTGTACCGCTACCGCATGCGCGCTTGTGGACGGGTTGCCTGTTCGCTCGTGTCCGCGAGACGTCAGAGACTGTGTGCCATACTCTCATAAGGTTGCTGCCCGACCTCGACCTGCGAGCAACGAGGCCGTCGCGGCGGCCTCAACAGGGCAGGCCCTCCGCTCGCGCCGCGGCCCTTGGGGCCCTCGGCGAAGACGACGCTCAAAGCCCGCCGCGCCCCGCCCTAGCCTAGCGCCGCCCTAGCGCCCTCCATAATTTGGGCGCGCGGCCGCGGTGGAACGGCTAGTATGTCAGGACCGTCAGGCCGGGGCGGGCGCGGCGCCACCCGTTGGGGGGCCGCGTAGACTTGACCTCTACCCGGCGACCCATGACGGGCGCCCCGGGCAACTCGAGACACGTCAAAGGGGTGAGCTGTCAACGCGCCGGCTGGAGCCATTATTTAATTGCGAGCAAAAAAAATCATCATAGTTTCGGTTAGCATTCACTGAAAAATGGAATTAGGTCGCAGCCGAATAGTAGCTGGGTGCCCCAGTATACTCCCTTGGCCACAGCATGGAGCCTCACGCCTCACGCGGGTTCCAACTTGCGACCAATAGTTTTCTAAGAACGTTCAAGCTAACGCCCATTTCACTCTTGTTAATTTTGAGCTCCGAAGCAGCCTATAGGGTATTTCAATGGAGCGCGGAGCAGAAGTAAGAAGAACAAAAACGGAATGTGGAAAGGCGCCCGCACTCCTCCCCGCCTTCCCCCCATTTCTCCCGGGCGCACCCCAACTCAGCCCACTAGAAGAGGGGGACGGAGTGGGCGCCTTTCCCCCTTCCGTTTTTGTTCTTCATACTACCGCTCCGCGCCTTATTGGAATCCCCTATTGCATGTGGCTGTCCCATATGATCCGAAATTTTACCGGGAAACCGATGGTGCCATCAAGTGTCATTAGGTAGTTTCCAGTGATGTTTTGTGCTCAGGGCAAGACATTGCTCTCAGTGTGTTGCACAAAGAAAATGCAATTTTAGGCATTAAAAGATAGGATGTGGCAAAGATTGCAGATTTTATGTAAACGTAATTCTACTTGCGCCGTAAATCTTTGCGATCGAGCGGCCCTGACCCTCTGCGCTCGGCCCGGTACGGTACTCGATTTCACTTCCAAACGAGGTTTTTGTTCGAACTCGTTGTACCGGAAGGCCTCGTCGACCTCCGACGGGTGGCAGCGGGTGGCGGTGGTGGCCGTGGCTAAGCGGAAAGCTGTATAAAATCCCGACGGAGTCAATTTGGAAACAAAACACACACGCTGGCTTGCGCTAGCTGCGCTGGCACGCCCGCCTGTCCCGTGTTGACGGGGCTTTATTGCGACCCTGCACCCCTTTGATCCCGCGCCCAGATCCAGCTCCAGGATCCATATCCAACACTATCCACGAGTTTTGCGAACGCTCTCATTTCGTCTTTGCTTACTGTTGCGAGTTTGTCTCCATTCCTATCCAGCAGCGAAATACAGTACTAGTCCCGTTCAGTCAGCAACAGTCTACCCCTCTTGAACGATCTTCTGAATCAGACGACAGCTTGTAAAAGTACTGTAAAAGTATTGTAAACGTGTATTAGAATGCAAGCGTGCAATTGGAGCGGTACTGTAACTACGTTCAGACGGATTGTCATACAAGTTGCCTACCCATGGGGTGATCAATTTGTGAAGGGGTCGGGGGGACACGAGGCCCTTTAGATCCTTTGCTCGTGCGAGCGGCAGCAGACTGTGTGGCGAGGCCCCCCGGTGTAGGTGTGCCCCCCCCCCCTTCCGACCCCCGCCGGTCATCAGTCAGTGCTGGCCGGAGCCCTGCGCGCCTCAAATCCCTTAGGTCCAGAGAGGCTGGATCCGGCCCTGCAGTCCGCAGACATCCGCTACGAAATGGAAGCCATGCCGGCGCTAGGAAGCGCCGATCTGTATTCCGGGACGGCTGTGTCACCGGCGGCTCCCCCTACCCACCCCCGCACCTCATACGCACCAGCCTCACCCACCGCCTCTCTCACCCCCACCCACTAGCTGCCCTCGTCAGCGAGCTTCGCCCTAGACCTTCGGATGGCAACATCTTACGATATCGATTATTTCTAAACAGTATTGTCCGTCCCTTTTGCTTTGGTGACCGGCTTGGCTCGGGTCCGCTAGGGTCTATCCTCCAGGGAGGTCATGAACCCCGCCGTCCCCTCCGACCCCGGGTGCTTCGCGTCGCGACTCTCCCGGCCCCTTGGCCTCATCCGGCCCGGCCGTGCGCTCCTTTTCATTTCTCCGGTAATTCCCTACTCGTCCCTCCCCTGACTGCAGCCCCGGGCCCCGGGGGCGGAGCGGGGCGGGGCGGGGCGAGGCCAGGATCAAGGCCCCTCGGACGAGACAATATTCATGTCACTTTGATCGAAAGTAAGACAAGGCAAGGCACCTCGCGCATTGTGAGTGGGCGGTGGTTGGAGAGTGGAGCCCCCATCACAGACTCGTGTTACTTTTTTTCAAATTTACCACACTGCAAAATAGCGTTACGATAGGAAGTTTTCATAATTTCGGACCAAACCTTTGTCATGCCCTCAATCCTGCCTATTCGTAGATGTTAGAAGGATCTCCGCAACTAGATTCGCTGATATGGATATGAGGGCGGTTCGAATTCGAAAAAGCCTCGTTCATCAAAATTGTGAGGTTTGATGTCGAAACGTCAAAGTGCTCATAGACTGCACGCACGATAACTTGCCGTGAAAAGGCAGATTTTCCATCGGGAAGAGCTTCGACCGACAGTCTTTTTGTCTTCGTAGCTCGCGAGGGATTCAAAGGGTGTCCCCTTTATGGTCGAGTTAGAATGTGCGATCCAAGATAAAGAAGAGGTTTGGTGGGGTGCCCCGTCAACTGCGTAACTCGCGCGCTACGCACGCACGCGCCAACGAATCCAACGAATACGCCCATTCACCAGATTGCACATCACAGCGAAGCACAGCGCGGACAGATGACACGGGCCCCATCCACTTTCATCCGCGTGTCCGGCGCCCACTCCACGTGGTGGTGGTCCACGCCGCGCCCCGCCGCCAACGCGTCGGCGGGGACGTGACCCGTATGTATTTGTCTTGCCGCCCCC